AAAGGAGGGAGAAAATACCTTATATACTCCTCCTTTAAAAGCGCAACATGAGATTAGGGGACCCAGTCGCCAAATCCTGGTGCTGAAGAATCATCATCCACCACCTTTTAGTTCGGGCGCCACTATAGAATCATTACTTTTTTTAAGCAGAAGATACGAATTTGCAGGTCTCGCCGGGACTCTAATCTGGACCACTCGAATACGCGCCTAGTATGCTAGCGTTACAACGTGAGCCGCATGCCTTCGCGGTAAAAATACCTTGAAATCTTTTTCCATGAGCAATATGGATGCTTGCAATACACAACTGCCCATTCATACCTAGAAGTTAGCACTACTGCCTCATAGTTAACATTTGCAAACATACTCTCTGTAAATTATAAAATAATAGTTACATCCGCTAAAAAAAATAAATAATCATAATTAAATAAAGAAAAATCAAGTTTCCGAATCCACGTTAAAAGTTATCGAGTACTCATTAATCGACCAAGGTTACAGCAAATCAAAAGCATAGTAAACTGGCAGCAGAACATTAAATAAATGGAAAGGCCCAAATCAAAAAATAAATAAGTACTCATATGACCTCAAGTAACCAAAGAAAAATATTGTAATGCACCAAATCTACATAAATGAAAAATTGGTTGGTGGTATTTTGGATACCAGTTTGAAATAACGAAGAAATGAAAAATTATTCTTCGTCTCCATCTTTTTTCTTTTGTCATTTTCAGAAGTCTTTTAATCATCAGAGTTTATTATCTTTTCTTTTATAACCTGAATGGGAGCAATCTGATCACACGAACACATGAAGTTCCTAAACTCCATTATAATTTCAAATTATTAATTTATTGTGTCATTCTTTAAAGTTCCGCGATATGCTCACAGATTTTCATTGGGAGCTAGATCACAAGATTTTAAACGCTGTAAAATTTTTTTCTTCCCTGTTGAAGCAAATTACAGGTGCATTTCAAATTTATCAACCGTTTTTGCATTCTTTTGCGCGTAGGGATTTTTGGTTACAGTTTTATAATTCGTACGCTTACTGAAGGATGATGTTTTCTTTATTTTTTAACTAGTAATTTTATTATTAGCATATTATTTTAACTTATATCTTTACAACTGTTCAACTCTACGTTTATGTAAAAATTTTTATCCTTTATCAATTCGAAACATTAACTCATTTTAGTTCTTGCAAGTGGATTTTTATTTGCCACTTACTACTAAGTAAAAATGAAGCTTTTAGAACAATTAAGATTACGTTTGTTACTTTTGTTTTCGCTGCCCAACCGGTATAGCGGTTAGCGTAGCTGACTGTCGTGCGAAGCAGTGGCGTAGCGACGGGGGCTGGGGCCAAGGGTTATGGTGTCCCGGGGACCGCTCACAGAGGGGCAACAAATGGTCTCCAAACAAGATTTTCATCATATCACTGTGTTTTTTTCGGGGGTGGCGCCAAAAAGTTATTTTGCCCCGGGCGCCAGTTATGCTCGCTACTCAACTGTGACGAAGGGCTAGGTTCCAATCCCGGAGACGGCATGGATGTTTGTATAGTATAAATGTATAGTGTCCGCGCGACGTAGAGGCACTCTAAATATGCGGTGAGCAGTACGTAATCTCGAGAGGTTGGTGGTAGGTGAAGTTACGTGGGAAAACCTCGTGGGAGGTTGTTGTCAAAGACAGGCAACAACCTTGCCACGAGAAACTTCGTGGGCTTGTGCTCACTTTAGGTCAGACAAGTGAGCATTAGTCAACAACAACAAGAACTCCTGTTTTCACATTTTTACTCATTCGTTTGATGAAAAGCTTCTCAACCACGCAGAAATTTCTTAGTTTCCGGGGTTTCTATTAGAAGAGTGAAAGCAATAATAATCAGAGTAATATTCACAAATTTGCAGGACTAGTCTCCAAATACAGAACCTTCTTCTTCAGATGCAGAAGTGCAGATGACGAAAGAGAAACCAGTGTTCAGGCGATAAGAATAAAAGGAAGGAAGTCAAGCCACTGGCGCCATCTACTAATGAAAAAATGAAAATAACTAAGAAACAATTTCCTTTAAAGCTGAGGTTAAAGACGGATTGGAATTGGGATCATTAACTAAAATTGAAAGATTTTTTATGAATGTGAAACGTCCCTAGAAAATATAGTTCGACAACGGAAGAGGTTCTTTTTGAATAATTTTGACAAAGCACTGGCGTCTCTTCAATCATTTGCACGTCTGCAGCTGAAGAGGAATTTTCTGTATTAGAACCTCCGAAAATAATCCTGTAAAAGTATGACTATTATGCTGATTTTTGCTGCTTTAACTCCCCCAATAATCGTTACTCGGCGTGTTAATTTAACTCAAATTTATTTAGCTTATGCACATAAAAAAATTACTTTTTTCAAATTTTGGCAATTGTTCCCACTTTTTTAACTTTTTGTTACTTAATTTATAAAACATGTTAGATAATATCTAAATCTATACAAATAACGAATATGCATTTTTGAAATTTTAGAAAAGAGGGTGGAGATGATCTTCTAATAATGGTGAAAGGGTGCATGGGCAAAAACAGTTTGAAAACAACTGGTCTGAAGATTTACGTCATATGAACATTTGTTTTAGTGTTTAAATACATTCCTTTCCTTGGACTGAAATTTTCGAGCATTAATTTTTTTTAATGAAAAAATTATTTATGTTCAGTACGTTCTCAGTTTAATGATTATCTGATCTTGTTTACTGACGCGAGTTATTTCATTGCATTAGGAGCTACTACAACTCTTGAAACTGCAACATTTAAACTACAAATATTAAAAATTTTAGTTATATGAAACATCCCTTATATAAAACCTTATATATCCCTTATATTATTAAAAAATATAAGGGATATATAAAACAAAGAAACGTTTAAGATTAAAAAAAATTTAATTAATATTTACAAAATGAGCAATTTAATAACAAAAATTTTTAACTGTAAGGAATAATTTAGGAAAACAATTAAATTCGTAATTCTTGCTCAAGTAAAAATTTTTATCGCTACGTAAACTAAAGAATTGCTGAAATCAAGAGAAATATTTAAAAGTAGAAAGGACAGAACTCGAAACTGAAAATTGTAGATTATAACAAACGCTTTACTTTTTGTTTTAAAAAATGAGCTAATTTAGACCAACCTTGTCTTAAATATCTCAAAATTTAGTCTCAGTAAGTATCTGTAAATTTACCAAAAATTATAAGAAATATTTGCACTGAAATACTCACATTTACTGTCGTTAGAATGCCAAATATTGCATCAGAAAACCAGAAAATGTAGAACAGAAAAATACTGTGATACTTAGCAATTAAAGAATTGGCAACGAATTTCATATAAATTAATGCATAGAAAAAATAAACAAATTTTAAAAAACCTGAAAGGTTTCAGATTTTAAATTATGCCCAAAGGGTTGTTTTTTTAACGTTTTGTGTGTTACCTTTATTTATTATATATCATGTTCTTTGCACTTAAACCATAAAATTCAGTTTAATAGCAATGTCGCAAAATAATTTTTAAATGAGCATATCTTTAGAATTTCTGATACACAGCTCCGAGCGTTAGCGATAAAAATTTCCCCCCCCCGTAGAGTGTTGCCATTGCTCGCTTTGAAATCCTTGAGTTTGTTACTCAAAAATTCGTTAAAGTTTTACAAAATATGAAATCGATCATAAAACAAATTCCAAATTTGGTCTTCCACATGCGCATATTCGTAGGAGGATTACGTCATTGGAAATTCGATGGCTCTAGGTACCGTTGTTTTACCACAATGAGAGAAATATACATACATTTATGCAGATTTTTCATTATTTAATTTCTTCAAACATAATGCATGACTCTAACATTTGGTGGTAACAGTTTGAAAAGTGAAACGGACATTTATAGTGATTTAACGCAAAACGAAAACAATAGTCCTTCAGGGACAAAGCCGCTTTGGACTAAAATAAAAAATAAAAGCATTAAAGAACCTTTTTTAAAAAACGGCTTCGTGACAAAAATGTGAAAAGAATGGATATTGTAACTTATTTTTAATTGAAAAATTCATACATATTTAATATGATTTAACTAAGAATTCTTTAACTTATAAAAAAGCAAAACTCAACACATAAGCATTATAATACTTGATTTTAATACTTACACTTCAACACATAACCTTTTCCCCGATTGCAAGTCGAGGCAAGTTGTAAAAAAGTGCTCTGGTTAAAAATTACAATTTTAATTAAAATTAAATATCTATTGACTTATTTTACATCTGTCCAAATGTTTTTTAAATTTTTTAGTTTTGTAAATTTTTAATAGATTTTTTTTTTCTATTTTAACAGTTATACGCATCTCTGTGTAAGAGATTTTTTTTCTTTTCCATAAAGGAATGTAGCTTCACAAAAAATTTCAGCTCTTCAATGAAATTATCATCTGTCAAATATTTTTTACTTAAACTTGCGATATTCTACAGGAAAATAAAAACTTTAAAATGTATTAATAAGGCACGCGATTTAAATTACTTCACAGCATTTTGCCTGCTTTGAAATTTTCTCTCAAAAATTATTTAAATAATCTTTGAATTTGAATGAATAAATTTAGCAAGTGTATTAGCTTTCTAATTAAGAGACATCTTAAAAATACAATTTAAGATTAGATTTCTCTTCATTCGCACGAACAATTTAAATGTGGAATTTGTGACAGCTTATGAATATAATTAAGTATTTAATTACTAATTTCCTCACTTATAAATTTTTAAAAAACTTGCGTATCAAAAATGCTGGATTTTAAGCAGTCAGAGCATCTGATAATTTCTCAGTAAAGAGACAAGTAAAGAAAGTTAAGTCAAGTTGAACGTATATTAAATCCATTGTATATGAGAAAACGTGAAATGATTTAACACCACCTGTTGTATAATACGCAGCAAGAAATTCTGACAGCTTCAGATACAAGCTCCCAGGCTTCAAGATTATCGTCTATCTACTTCTTACCAAGTTATAATTCTAATTAAAAGGCTCACCTTACCTTTATTCGGTGTTAAACAATAATCCCGGTAATCCAGAATGCTCGCATTACAACAGCCGAATAAATCCTTTCAGCGCTCTGTGGGAAACAAACAATTCACAGCCGTAGCGATGGCATGGCGTTATTCCAAATCCTCGGGGCTGTTTAGTGGGGAGACGGAGAACGGCTGAGTAGTGATGGCCTTTAGTCATCCAAGTGAGTTGAGTGGTTTGTGAGCTTGCCCTGGGAGCTGGTTGTTGAAGAACACAGTCGTTGCCCCTACGCGCCGAAGAACAGGTTTATGTCTACGGGACTGGCAAAAAATTACAAATGGGAATTTCTAGTTTCATTTCCAATGCAGAGAAAGAAATTTGATTCGTGACATGCAGAGAAAGAAATAAGAATACTACATTCTCCTCGGTAGTATCTTAACGGAGCAGCGAGATAGAGCGTCCGCCTAGAGCGCCAGATGGAAAGGGGGATCTCTCGAATATTCAAGTTTTTGTACACCACGAAAAAGCACCTTTTGTAAACATTCTATTATGATTTGGCTATTTTTGGTTCAGGGAAACGGCGCTTAAACAGTGGAGTAGCTAAAGGCCTGTCCTCTCTGGGGCGCATATTTTTATGCGTGGTATTTTTTGCCTGAAATACTATTTTATATGAATCAGGCAAGTGATTATACGTCGATGCAAGTTGTAGAGTCGTTAGGTTATTTCGAAGCAGGAGACATGAAAATTCAGCAATGCCCTAGCCCGGACTCGAACCTGGACCTCTCGAATGTCGCCAAGTGAGCCGCCGTTACAGCACGAAGGCATGCAGAAAGGAGGGAGAAATTACCTTATATATTCCCTATATATTATAAAGGGGGGAGGATTAGAGGACCCAATCGCCAAATCCTGGTGGTGAAGAATCATCATCCACCACGTTTTAGTTCGGGCGCAACTGAAGCATCATTATTTTGAAGCAGGAGAAGTAAAAATTAACACAGCCCTTGTAGGGTCATTAGGTTATTTCGAAGCAAGAGAGATGAAAAGTGATCAATGCTCTCGCCGAGACTCGAACCACGGATATCTCAAATACGCTCCGAGCGTGCTGACCACTACACCACGAAGGCAAGCTAAGAAGGCGGGAGAAATTCCTTATATACTCCCCTTTTTAAAGGGCGACTTTGGATTAGGGGACACAATCGCCATATCCTGGTGGTGGAGAATCATCAACCACAACCTTTTTTAGTTTGGAAGCCACTGTAGAGACATTAGGTTATTTCAAAGCAAGAAAGATGAAAAATGAACAATGTACTCGCCGGGACTCAAACCACGGACCTCTCGAATACGCGCCGAGCATGCTGACCACTACGCCACGAAGGCATGCTAAGAAGGCGGGAGAAATACCTTATACCCTCACCGGGACTCGAACCTGGACCTTTCGAATGCGCGCCGAGTATGTTAACCGTTACACCACGGTTACCTATCTGTATTTCTGAGGCGCATGCCTTGGAAATACAGATAGGTAACCGTGGTGAAATAGATAGAAATTACAAGGAGAGATGAGAAAGGAGATAGAAATTATCCTTTAAAGTGAAAATAATTGGATTCTAATTTACCATACAGATTTAAATTGAAAGGAAGAGTTTGTACTCCAAATAGAGTGTTGAAACACATCCCCACGTGATTTCAACAGTTTCTAAGTTTTGTTATAATTTTATTATTCCGTAGAAATTTTTGAAGGTAAATTACGGATATCAACTAAATCATGATGGCATTAATAAGAAAGAAGCATTTCAGAGTTTTATTTCCTTTATCACTAGGGAAAACGAAACAAGAACGTGGAAGGGCGTTCCTTCTGAATTTTGCAGTTATTTCTAAAACACAAGCTCCAGAATATAGTTCCAAATTTTGTAATACAAGTGTGAACTTTCTTCTCAATTGCTATAAGTGGCGCTAGTTATATGTTGTAGAGTGATTAGGCTTTTTGAAGCACGAAAACGAAAAATGAGCAATGCCTTTGGCGGGGCTCGAACCTGGACCTGTCGAATACGTTCAGAGTGTGCTACCATTAAACCACGAAGGCATGCAGAGAGGAGAGAAAAAATATCTTTTAAAGTTGTGACTGAGGCTTAGGGAACCCAGTGGCCAAATCCTGGTGGTGAAGAATCATCATTCGCCAACTTTTTTAGTTCGGGCACTACTTGTAGAGCCATTAGGATTTTTGAAGTAGGAAACACGGAAAATGAGCAATACCCTCACCGGGACTCGAACCTGGACCTCTCGAATACACGCTGAGTGTGCTACCGTTGCACCACGAAGGCATGTAGGAAGGAGGGAGAAAATACCTTATAAAGTGTGTGCATCGTCTGTTACGACCATAAGACCAACTTGCTTGGTTAGGTGGGTCGGGTAGCGCCCACTTCTGGTATAGTTCGACCGCCCCATCCGCGACCATGAGCGCTAACACGCATGCGCCATTAGGACTGAATTATTCTCAAAATAGTGTGGAAGGATGGGGATTTTCTTTCCCTCCAACATAGCTCTTTCCGGAGAAGAGAAGATCTTTCACGTCGCAGCAAGTAATACCTCCCCTTTATGGACGAGTCTATGTGTTTTGGCAGAATGCCAACCAGGGTTGCGCTTGAGACGGTCGAACTATACCTTACAAAGTGTTTTCTAAATAAAAATCATTTAAAAATACTTATGAACAACAAATGTATATTTTGCATTTTAAAAATCGTTCTCTACTGTCTACATAACAGCAAGAACAATCAAATAGATCTCTGTAATGTCATCGATGGTTCTGCAAACAAACAAAATAATAATATAATTTTTAAACGTTAGAATTAACATTTTTCTTCAAAATAAACGTAGAGTTTTAATTTATTTACCTGCATGTCGTTTTGACATATTTTGCATATGTTTGTACATCAAGACGAAACAAGGCGTTCAGGGACCGTTCAAGGCGACAAACTCAGCACTGTCCGTGCGGCAAAAATTCTAGCTACGCCACTGAGCTGATAACACTGCTCAGGGCGCCGAATGCTGTAAGCTCTTGCCCGGTTTAAGCTTTATCGACAAAGTCCAGTTAAGGAAATCGTTGGCTTAAATAGTCTTTCACCTCTATCAAAGCTACTTTTTCAAGTTTATTTCTAAACTAAAACACAATAAAAATTTTCTGAAAAATGTAATTTTTATGAAAATAAAAGAAAAATATTGCACTTTTATCATTGTTAGTATACTTTACACAATATTAAGACTCTATAAATCTTTCAACTAACTATCAGCTCTTCGACACGATTAAAAATAGACTTCAAAAGTTTCACGTTAACAGCTTTTAATCAAACACAATTATTAAAACTTTATCTTAAATAAATTGCTTTATCCGTGAAAAAAAAAAAAAAAAAAAGAGCAAGATTTCACAGGCCCAGACAAGTATGTTCGTATTCTGAAGCTTCATACATTTAGAATTTGAAACCGTACAAACTCATAACAACTGAAAAGCTGCTGTTATGTTCCTTGCAAATATCAGCTTATTTTACTAATTTTTGTAAAACACTGCTCCGTGCAAAAGACACTATTAAAATTGTCTACTTTTCATACTTCAGAAGCAAAGATCTTGCTTCGTGGGGTTTTACTGACATCCTCATAACATAGAACATTTGAAAAAAAGTCATCATCATAAGATGTAAAATGAGCAAAAACTACCTTATGTTTAGCGTCAAGAACTTTAACTAGTTCGAGAAGAAACACGTACAGATCCCTCTTCATCAGCCGCATAGAAATCCGCAACGAAGGGAAAGCAGTGGTCCTATATATAACCTGCAGAAGTAAAGCTTACAAGACGATAGCGCCATCTGTCGGCAGAGATAATAACGAAAACTGAAAATTATGTTAACAGAAATTTAAGAGCGTCAAGAAGGACTGGATTAAACTTAAAATCATTAACTAAACAAGATAAATCTTTGTGAATGTGAAAAGCTTACAGAAAATCCAATTCACCAGTCGAAGAAGCGTTTTGGATAATTTTTGCAGACCAAAATTCAAAATTATAATTAAATTTTCAACTATGAATAGCTATGGAAGGCTCGTAAGATTTTTTATATGAACATGCGACTCCTAATATCTGTAATCCCACGTTTAAGCCTAATGAGCAAAGTAATTAGGTAAGGATTTTTTAACAAATTATTCAGTAATTTAGACTAGGGTTTTTTTTTTATTATTATTATTTTTTTAATCGCTTGACTCGTTTCAGTTATTTAAGGAGCAAGTATTCTTTGTCTAAACTATTTTTCTGTCTAACAAGAAGTTTTGAAATTTTAAGGAGGCGTTTTTCTTTTTGTTACACATTGGCTTTATCTTAAAGAAATTTGTAATTATTTAACTTATTTTTATTTACTTAAAGAGTAATTAAAAATGAGAACCACCAAATGCAGAAGTGTTCCTGTATCGTATATATCCGAGGGGGGGGTGTCAGAGCGCGGCTCCCGAGCCACATGCGTTTCTTGCAAATGAGTGTTGCGGCTCCCATGTAGATAAAGTACTATATATGAAATATGGTAAACTAAAAGATCTCTATGTTCAAGTTCAAAAGAAAGTACTTAAAGTTTAATTTCTTTTAATATTTCATCTCTTTTTACAAAGTTATCAGAAGTTTCTTTCAGTTTGAAACCCGTTTCATTTTTTAAAATGATGTCAAAATTGATTTGTGGGTATTGGAAACTCCAGTTGCGGCTCTCAAACTTTCCTCATCCAAAATGTGTCTCTTATTTATATTAAGTTTGGTCACCCATCTTATATATGTAGTTACATTAGTGGTATTTATTTTTCTATTTAAATAAATATTAAATGTTAGGCGGGGAATAATTTAGCATTCTAGCATGAAAATGGGTTAAATTTTTGAACTTAAGTTAGTTTATCAACAGAGATTTTGTTGCGTGATGTGAGGCATCTTTACTATGATTCCGAGACTTTTAATATTTGCTGTCTTAAACTCCCCCCCCCAACATGATGTAACACAGTAATTAAAACCTTCCTGTAAATGCTGCCAGGCGTGAAAACAAATTAGAAATGGGGCCTGTAAGTACAGAAATAACTGTAGCTAATAAACATAAGTTTATCCTATTTAAATAAATATTAAAGTAAAGAAAATTGTAATATCGGGACTATCTTAATATCAGATATTATGCAGTTACTGATGGCAACACAGCAATAAAGAAACTTTAATTAA